TACTCAGTGATTCTAAAAGAATGAAGGCAGAGTGGGATGCTGGTCTGAGCAGCTTCTTGCTTTCACCCAGAGAAAGCTAAGACAGATAAGGAATGTTGATTTGCATGCACAGAATGACATCAGGATCACGATGGTCCATTTTAAATTCCAGTAGATGTCACACTTTACTATCCAAGGCAAGGCAAATTTATTTACATAGCACATTTCATACCCAAAGGCAACCCAAAGTGCTTTACAGAGTACACAAGCTAAAGCAAAAGAAACAAACGCTAAAAATAATAATAGCAAGCGAGAAAAAACACACAGTGTAAAAACAAGAAGAAAATAGGCAATCGAAAGTAGACAAGATAAAGTGGAATAACCAAAACAACAAAACAAGCTAACAGATAAATTTGATTTAAAGGTCCAGAGTGTAAGATTTAGGTGAAGGGATCTATTGGCAGAAATTAAATGTAAAATAATCCTCATGATGTTTTCACTAGTTCATTTCATCTAAATTGTATGAATTGTAGTTTTCTTTACCCCAGAAAAGGTCCTTTATATTTAAATACTTTATATTTACATCAAGGGGGTCCTCTCTATGGAGGCCGCCATGTTTTTTACAACTCAGACTGGACAAACTAAACACCTTTTGAGTTTTTATGACAATTAAAAGCTACCACAGGTTCTTTTTCATGTTTGATATCACAAAATTCTACACACTGTACCTTTAAAAGAAGATTAATAAAAAGCAATGGTAAACAGGTAGGTCTTTAGCTTGGATTTGAAAGTAGTTAGCATTGTCTCAAGTCTTAGCTCGACAGGGAGATTGTTTCACACTTGAGCAGCACTGAAGTTAAAGGCAGCTTCACCACGTTTGGTTTTAACTCTAGGAACAGCCAGTAGTCCAGAACCAACCGACCTGAGAGGTCTGCAAGGTGCAGAAAAGAAAGATGTGCTCAGAAATGACTTGTGTCACTTCAGCACACTGACACAGTTGTCATGGCTGCAGTAATCTCTCTGCTGAGGCCTCTATAAATCCGCTGTTCCTCCCTCTACCTGAGCTCAGTGCAATATTCTTTAATAACCGGTAATAATCTCCCATTGTGTGGTCCCATTACAGGTTTGTGTTCATTTAAAGCACTTTAACTTTTGCATTATTGTTGCTCTTGCATACAGGGGCCAACTGGATGAATTGGGTAGTGGTTGTTGAGCACAGAGAAGCCCCACAAAGCTAAGAGGCAGAAGAATGATGCACCAGACTCTTTATTTGTTGCCCTCGCTGTGACGGGGCAGCTTTTATTTTATTGCAGTAACAATCCAGCAAGCCACACACCAAGACATTTTACCTCCACCGATCAAACAACCCAGCCCAACAGCTCTGGGTGACTACATGAAGCTTTGGTATCATTAGTCAGTTGTTAGAATTGGACATTAGAACATGAGCAAGTTTGGCTTGTTGTCGAACCCAAATAAAAACAGAGCTTTGGTTTCCATAAAGCTTGATTAGACCTAAGGTAAACATAAAATGTCACTTACAAGGTCACATGTAGCAGACAGTAGATCTTTCAGGGGATTAAACAGTCCTCCATAGGAAGGAGATCTGCACAGGCTGCCCCAGAAATACAGATGAATGCCAAACAACAGGATTGTAGCAGTTACACAGACATGCAGGTGTAAAGACAGCTTCAGAAAGGTGCTGTTCCACCAAGACGCTTCAGTGCTTCGTGTCAGAGATGCTTCCAAGTGTGTTGACTTCTACTGGAGGGAGGAACAGACACATGTTCATATCTCTACAGACACCCACATGCAGCGATACTGATGCATGACATATCATTAGTGCTTGAGACTCGGTTTTGCATTTTTTTGAAGTGCGTCTTGAAACTAGGGCTTTCACTTTATAAGAAAAGTTTAAGTTGGCAAAGAATTCCAGCCAACATTTTAAAACAATGTGATGATCAATTGGTAAATGTTCTTTAAATTAGTCTTTTGCACAAGTGTGTCTGGTCTGCTGTGCCTGAGCTGCAGGAGCAGCAGCAGCAGCAGGTGAGTCTACAGATTTAACAGTAAAAAAACATCCTTAGCACTTTTGGTAAATATGCCATCAAGTGTCCAGAATTTAAAATCCCTCCACACTGCTTCTCACAAACTATATGAAATTATCTGCCACGCTTACTTGATTTTGCACATGCCTTGATAATTCAATTCTCATAAGATCTGAAAAGTAGATAAAAAGTCACAGCCCTGCGGAAAACAATAATTGCATATTGATTTGTATGTTGAAAATGGGCTGATAACTTCTTCTCTTTTAAAAACTGGCCATGAGAAAATCCCTTCCTACAGTGATTTTAATGCAGGTGATAAAAAAAAAATCCAGGCCTCATTCTTTGACTTTATAAACACATCCTGGAATTCACCACTGAATTCATGCTTCTCCTTTAATTTGTCTCCCAGTTGTATCACCTCCGCAGTTTCAAAGAACACAGAAATCATTCGTAGTGCTGAATCAGAAGCACAATGACTGATTCGTTTCTGCCAGAGAAACTGTAAGACTGACTCTACACCACAGTAACTTTTGAAGGAACCTTCTACTCTTTGTCAGGACTGTATCTCAAACTTAATACAAAAAAAAAAAAAAAATACAATACAACACTAAGCAAGTATTAGTGTCCATCATCAAGAATTTTAAGCTCACTCTGTGCTGCATCCACACACAGCAAAGTACATTATAAAATGAGATGACGAGCAACAACAGCAATGATAAAAAATATCAGGGAGGAGGTATATGTGCAAAACAGTTGGTTACAATACAAAAAAAGACTCATTTTGATCCAAAGCCAAAACAAAAATAACTTTCAAAAAGATAATCTCCTCTGTCACTAAGAAATACAGGCAGAAATTTACAACCAGGGATGTGATCAAGCGAACAGTCATATAAAAGTACATGAGAAAAAAGCAGGAGAATAAGAAATCAGCATTAAAAATGAGAGGGAGTTCATCCCTGTGTTTATCAACGTGGTTTTCTCTTCCCATTCCTCCTCTTTGTCAGTGTTTACTGTCGTCCTCCGACGGCAATAAGGATCGGCAGAGTTCAGGTTGTGTCCCTCTGAGACTTGGGCTCTCATACTGTTACCACTGTGTCAGGGAATGTTGCAAGTGTAGCCTGATTGAGTCCACCCAGGTCCAAAAGAAGCATCAATTAGTTTACTAAGCCAAGGAGCAGTTAACAGACTCAAACTGAACAAAGTGTCAAGAGTGTCCTTAAAACAAGTTCCTCATTGATAAAATACCTGAAAGGCAGCAGAAGCAAAACTGGTGCCATGTTCTCAAAAGACAAAAGGTGTCACTTTACCTAATGGGTAGTACAATCCTTTAATAATGCTTTGTTGAACATTTATAAGCCAGAAATAAAAACTTTTAGGTTGCCAGGTTTGAAAAATATCTTTGGATTGTTGCAATGATTGTTTTACCCTTTAAAAGGTATTGAACTCCAATATTCAATATTCACTTTCCTCACCAGGTAGAGGACAGTGGTGTTTCACAGCATGAAACGATAAAAACAGTGAGCGCACAGTGGCTAAATGTTGGCATTTCCCAAAAAATTAAATGGTGATAAATGCTAACGGTGCTAATATTATCACCACAACAACATCAAAAGGATCCTGGCTCCGACTTCTATGAAGCCACAAGGTCTGTAGTCATGTTAAAAAGTTATTATTATTAGAATGTCTGATCCAGAGGACAAGAGAACAGTCTACTTGGAGACAGACACACACAGCAAGTATCACAAACAGCCAAAACGATCTTTGAAACCTGGCAACCCAAAACCCTGCTAATATTAGTAGCTCATACCTGTGCAATTAATAAAGAATTAGTTCTACAGTTCATGAAGTGCACAAAGAGGATGTCTTATTTGAAAGTGGTACCACAAATAAAAAAGACTAACAGATGAAACTTAACTCTAAAGACCACAGCTATATAACATCACTCCCAAACACCACAACAGTGAAGAAAAAACAGATGAAACAAACACAACATCCATGCAAAAAATATTCTGGATGTACTCATCCCAATGACAAAGTTCTCTGAGAGTCTCTGGTTTAAGAAGAGTTAGGGAATAAATATGTCAGCACGAAGGTCACGATCAGAGACGAGGGAGTTCAGACCGAGGAGAGCTGGAACACAGACTGACAACAGCTTCCACCAATCAGCAGGCTGTCTGCTGTGAGTGTGTCAGCAGTAGTCGTTTCACAGCCCATAATTAACGGAGCTCAGTGCTGGTCTCTTCTTGCCTTTAATCTTCAAGGATCCATAACGAGCCTGGCGAGAAAACAATGAAAATGTGTTTATGGGTTAATCCTCAGTCTGACGTCCTGTCCATGAGTTTCACTAAGACAGAGATTTTTGATGTCACTGCCCACTGTTGCTTTGTGTAATGAGCATGCGCCAACGACAACAATGACAGCTTTATACCAGATTCACTTCATTGGGTGAGCACTGCTAGATGTAATTACAAATTACCAAATTAAGCACCACTGCACCAGATTGCCGACATTCCCAGGCGTCCGCCTCACCCAATACTAGGGCGCAGTCATTCATAAAAGATAAAAAGCACATGGGTGTGAACTCCATGTGAAGCCACGTAGCAATTTGTCTCGCCACAGGAAGCAAATGTTTGAAAGCTCCTTGCTGGCACAGATGACAGTGAATGGGAGGTAAGGGTTAACCACTGAAACATTTGCATATCACTGTAGCGTTCTTTTATGGTATTCAACAGATTGTGGATGTAAACTTTATCGCCACCTACTGGCCTGACGTGCTTGTTTGAGCATTTTTAGTGGTTTTTGTGTTATCGTCTGCACGGAGATGTTTTGTAAAATGAAGGTTGTTTGGATTTCCTTTTTTATTTTATTTTATTTTTTTTTAAACAGAGGGGGAAATAATTTATCAAAAAATATCTACAGTAGTGTAGACAGGGCTTAAATTTCTGCATTGTGTTATGACACTTAATGATTTCAAAATACCAACTCCTGAGCACCTTCTCTCTTTGACTTGTGTTTTAAAATGTTTTAATTTAATATTCCTTTTTATTGGCTGATATATTCACAGATTTATTCTGCTATCAGAAATATATATTTCAGACAATGCACTTACGTCTTTACGCACTCTGGACCGTGTGATCTTGACACTCTGTGATCGTCTCAGGCCTTTCTGAGTGAGAGCCTCATCTTCAGAGAAGGTTGGCTCAGTCTCATCATCCGTCCTCTCCTCCTGGTCATAATAGTATTCTGAAAAAAAACACACCACCAGAAACAGTGAAAAACAGACATACGTGTATCACAGTGAGTCAGAGAGCATGTTTGGCTGCATTGATCACACAATCGGGTTGAGAAGTTGTGCTACTGCTGAAAATCCAATAAAGATTTTTCAAAATAAATGTGTGACAAAGTGCAAAATTAATCACATATGATTTTTTTATTGACTTTTATATCTCACTGAAATTAATAAAGGTTCAGTATGTGGAATTTAGTGACATCTAGTGGTGAAGTTGCAGCTGAATACCCCTCATCTCACCCTCCCCTTCCAAAAATGAAAGAGAACCTGTGGAAGCTTCAGTTGTCATAAAAAACTATAAAGGTGTTTAGCTTGTCCAGTTTTGGCTCCTGTAAAAAAAAACGTGGGACTCGCTACAGATGTATAAAGTACTGTAGTGTCAAGTATTTAGATATAAAGGGGCAATTCTAGGGTAAAGAAACAACTATGTTTACAATTTAGATGAAACACACTTTTGAGAACATCACTTGGATTATTTTATTTTTAATATTTCTGCCAATAGATCCCTTTCACCTGAATCTTACACACTGGACCTTTGTGGTTGCCAAATTCACATAAATACGTTTTAAATGAATAGTTCTATACTTCAGATGTTCTTTTAAACTTACTATTAGGAATCTTTATAATCAATAGACAATTATTTTCTAAATTCATCGGTTAAATGTTTTGAATTTCAGAATTGTATGCTAGAATAACCAGAAATTAATATGCAAAGAGCAGGACAGTTCAAAACATTGAGACAGAAAAAAAACACACTATTGATATGAATGGATGGTGGTCCTCTATATTTCATCAGTGACAGAACATGTGATCAGTACAACTAGTAAAGCTTAGAGTGAGAAAGATTTGTATTAAGAATATTTGATATAAATAACTTCCCCTGCAATGCACCATCAAGTTTACTTATAGTCCTCATACAGTCTGACGCTGCTGATTGACGGGTCAGTTACAACTCGTGAAAACACCATGTGTATGTTAGACGCAATAAAAAAAAAAAGACTTAATTAATTTACATTTGTTGAGTCACCACTAACATCCACAGGAAACCAGATCACAGTAAAAATGCACTGAAGGATCACAGGACATTTGGTGTTTTCAGCGTTGTTACAGTGAATGATTACTGACTGAGGTGCCTGTGGCGTCTGATTGTTACAGTTTCAGATGACAGGCCTGTGCTGATTGTGTGTCATGGTGGTAGAGAAGAAGGCTGGATTCATTTCCACTGTGTGTGAACGGCAGCTGGTCCAGCAGAGGTCAGCAGATAGTCAGCAAACACCAGCTGCTGCCTCATGTTGCAGCTCTCTCTTTGTCATAGACACACAAGGTTAAAATATAAATGAACTAGAATGACACTCAGTGGAGCGCATACCTCCGCCAAGGCTCAACATTCTGATTAAATGAAATCAAACTAGAACAAATTGCGCACACTCGTAGATGTAAGTCCTCTAAATTCACTAAGTCCACATTGTTTCATCTAGATCCATTCATCACTCCCTGGGAAATTGGTGAAAATATTAAAAAAGACACATTACTCTATGTCACAATGTGAAAGAACCTTGCCCCCTTGCTCAGGTCCGTGCCCAAACAAAATGTGTTCTTTACAGGCCCATGTCCCATATTTCCATTTCCAAAAATTTATTGGCTTTTAAAATTAGAAAAAGATGGACACATTGAAATTCCTTTGATCACTATATCTATAGATAATGTATAATTTATAATATAAGATAATGTAATATACCAAAGGTTGTGAAAATGGCCTCAACTAGTTCCTGTCACTTTCTATATCTTTAAAAAAGACGGGTAGATTTGTAATTTTAGGGAAAAGATCATTGGAACAAAGATGGAGACATGAAGGACTACAATGAGAAGTGAATTTTAACCTTCAGCCAAGTTGTTTTCAAGATGTATGCAAAATTCATTTTTGATTCCGAAGTAGTGAGTGAAATTTGAAACCAACCAATCAAACATGTAAATTAAGTGTGGATGCAGTGGATGAATCCACATATTGTGCTCTGTGTGTGTGGCAGCAGGACTAGTCTAAATGAACCCCAGTGTGTGTGTTCATGGTGATGAAGGACCATGTCACCCAGTGCTACAGCGTGCCTCACTGTGTGTGTGTGTGTGTGTGTGTGTGTGTGTGTGTGTGTGT